TTTAAATATATATAAATTTTTTTTTTTGTTTGTTCTCTTAAGATTTCTTATAGTTCTTATAGGCCACTAAGACAGTACTTATGACAGGATCATCTTCAGGCAAGATTGGGGACAGATACGCCACTCATTAATTTTACTTACAAAATGTGATGTTTTTCCAAGTGAAAAGGTATTTTCTGTGAAGTATAGATTGTTTCATCGGTAGCACATGCCTGACCCAAAGTTAACTTTTGGTCTGTGTTTGTTTATTGGTCTGGGGTTTGGCGCCGACTACAAATGCGGTTAAAGTTAAGGTGATGTGTCAACTGAAGTTGGGCTCAATTTGTTGTGCTGTGGGATGCAATTTTTCCCATACATTGATTTATTTGTGGCGACCCGCCACAATATCAAACCTGACCACCACAAATAACATTAGATTTTCCAAAAGGCTTTGAATTTGTTGAATAAACATGAGCACTGCACGTTTCAAAATCACTGCACGTTGTTTTTATATCACTGTATAATGAAAACAGATTGTCTTCAGAAAATTTTCAATGTCATTTTCATTTCATCTTGCCTGTAATGCCTGATTGTGAGCTCAACTTGCTTTGTGTACAGCTGTTACTAGGGAAACCTCTATTTCTGCTGCTCCAAAAGCACCTCCTGCTGGCAGAGAATTAATTTACATTTTCAATAAGAACGTCTGATTTACGCAGAAAACATTGCTTATTACCAGAAATAATCTACTCTAGAGGGGTGCTGTTGTTATTGATTCTTTGCAGAAGTCTACCGGAAGTTAAGTTTGGGCCACAAAAGCGCGCATGCGCAGTAACGTTTGTTTATGTTGTTGCCGTTGAAACCCTCTTTAGGCAGAGACTTTATTTTATCCATTGGAAATTAATTGGATTGTGAAAAGTAGTAATTTTTACAGATTGCTGGAAGAGAGAGGAGTTTATGGCTTAAATGGCAACAACTGCATTAATATAATATTACAAAGACAGACAGATTTATTTATTTAAGGGGGTCATGAAATGGAGAATCAAAATTTGATTTAGTATTGACTAATGACAATTTTCTTTGCATACAAGGCAATAATAAATGGCAGATTAGAGCTTAGCAGTGTGTATCTGAATCATTTTAGTATTTTCACAGATCTGTTATTTTTCCTCTGAACAGCTTGTGTATAACACTGACCCATTGCTAAAATACAAGCAGCCACACAGCCAAATCTTTAAATACTCCTCTGCAGCGACTCCATTTACCAGCTCAAAGGCTTTCAATTAAAATGCAACACATCAGAGCCGTCAGCGCTTGAGAAAGCATGAGAAACACTCTTCTGCCTAACCAACTCACTCTATCTTTACAGACTTACCAGGGAGGAAAAAGAGCACCATCTTGCCTTCCACAGTCAAGTCTTAATCCCTGACTCTGCCTAAGGCCCCCCCTTCTCATCAGATTTTTTGTGACCCAGTTCAGCACTGCTCTGTAGTGCACATTTATTAACTCTGCATAAATAAACAATGCTCCTCCACAAGCTGTTGTCAGCCCAGCGTAAAACCTGCTTCTTATTTGCAATAATGTAATAACTCGTTGCAATCCACAACTTAAGACTAAAGGTGTTTTATAGTCTGTGCATCGTTTCTTCATGCTCTTTGTCTTGCATGTTGGCTTATAGTAATTAGTATATGTTGCCTGAAAATTCACTTTATTAGAGTATTGACCTAAACGTGTTTTGATTAGCACTGTAAAAGATACTGAACTGTCAAATAATTACAGCTGTATTAGTACTATTACAAATGCTGCTCAGTGCAATGTTAGTGACTGTGGGTTGAGTTTAACTTTGGTAAGAGCTGTTTCTCTTTCTAGGGCTGCAACAACTAATCAGTAAAACCAATGCAAATCGATATGAAGCTAGCTGACAGAGCAGAACAAGCTGTAGCACTCTGTTTTGTAGCATTTAGTTTAAACCTACTAACAGTTATATTGCTTATTTCATAGATTTAATAAGTATTGCCTTAAATGAAGTATGACACATTTTGCAATACATTGAAATCATATATTAAAATTTTCATTTTGTAATTGTGAATTCATATACAGAAAGGGCACTGCCATTTGGCATATCATATTGCCAGTTGAATTTGAACCTGCTTTATGCTCTAATAGTCATTGACTAAAGCATAGAGTTGTGTTTTATTGATGTTCTTCCTGACTGTAACCCTGACTCAGCTTTTCTTTCACCTGCTGTTTAGGGGAATTCAGGCCTGGGCTTCAGTATCGCCGGTGGCACAGATAACCCTCACATTGGTGAAGACCCCAGCATTTTCATCACCAAAGTCATTCCAGGGGGTGCTGCCGCTCAGGACGGGAGATTGCGGTAATGTTCCGGTTCTCATCCGTTTCCTGCTCTCTTCCTGTTGCTGTTCATACTCTAAATAGTATGATAATGTTATGTTATCTAATGCAATGACATCTAGACATTTTTTTAAATGTGACTTCATTGCCCAAATACTTGGATCTACATGAGGACAGCTTTCAATAAACCTCTTTTCACATGTCACTAGGGATGGGTATCATTTACATATTATCGATACCGATACTGCTTATCGATAAAAGTTGTTGAAAATTTCAAGTTATTTTATTACTGCTGAACTTTATTAACCAACTTTATTAAAATTCTTCAATCAAGAGCAGTGAGTTATTTTTCTCGTTGTGGTTTATTTTATTAACATTAAAGGAATAGTTCACCCAAAAATGAAAATTGTGTCATCATTTACTCACTCTCAAGTGGTTTTAAACCTGATTTAGACCCAATTAAGTATTGGTCCAAAAAAATACCGGTTCTTGATACCCATCCCTACATGTCACTTTAAATCAGTTTGAGATTTAAAGTATATTTCAATGAGATTGTATTGTATTGTTTTGACCATTGAGCATAGTAATAGATTTCCTCCTCATGCATTGTTGTTTGTGTTAGAATGGATTTGTCCTGTTTTGAATTGGTGTTACTAAGTGATAGAGCCCTCCAGTGTCTCAGTGCTGTCAGAGGCTCATTAAAGCAGCACTACTGAGGTCCTGACAGCATCACACTGACAGCTCTACACACACACACACACACACTGAGAGAGAGAGAGAGAGAGAATATAAAGAGCCCTATCATCGGCTGTTTGCATTATTTGTAAATTAAATTGTGTGAGAGAGAGAGAGTTAATGATTGTATGTCATAAAGACTTTGGGACACTTACAGACCATGTGATGTATAATTGTGTAACTTCAGTTTGTTTAAAAAGGCTTGATGACTTTTATAGTTTTTTTTATTTTTTCGTGCCCAGTAAGAGCTGTCACTGACAAATGAATTGTAGCCTAGGTCAGGGCTCTGAACCAGTTCAAGGAACGAAAACTGGAAATGAATTAAATTTTGACTTGAAGAGAACCAGAAACAGACACTAAATCAAATTTTATAGTTCTGAACAGAATCGAAAATTTGAAATATCCATTAATCAGTTAATAATGTTATTTTACCGTTCCATTTAATATTTGAAATTTGCTATCAACCAATCACGAATTCAAGTAGGCCTAGTATGGCCTATGCAAATATGACGCTGCAACCAAATGCGTGAAATGCCCACACTCAGCTGTGAACTCATCATAGGCAAGTCGCAATGGCAATGCACTGGCGTTAGAGTTTATCTGAGGATAGTGTAAGATGGATTCAACAGATCATATGCACCTGCAGCGCTTCTGTGAATGGAGAAGACAGAATGAAACTATAGGCTTACATAAAAAGGAATATATAGGTCTATACACGAAATATATTTCACTTAAATCATTGACAGATTAACAAAACAAAAGAAAAAAATTTACTGAGTTACGGTTCATTATGACGCGTTCCAAAGAAAGGAAAACGAGACGGCAGAAAGTAGTTTTCTTTATTTTGCACAAGCTTTACAGTTTTCTTGCTTCTATAACCAACCAGCGTTATATGACCATATCGCGCCCGGAGCCCCACGCTCCGCATTGCAGCCTGTTCATTATCAAAATAAAATAGTTGTAGCATCTGGACCACTCCAACACACAATATATATTTTGTTAGCTAGATTTCACAAATACTTTGTAACACCCCAGGACGCCGAACAAGACCCTGGTTTCATGGTAACCCGATACATTTACAACCTTGTGGAATGCGAGCCGACTCTTAGCTGCATTCTCCAGAAACAAGGGGGCACAAATGCACAGTAGAAATTGACTTTTCTACTAATTAATTCATAGGAAAACCTTCTTTGAATGAACACCCATTTTCTTCAGGCCATTGTGTATATTATTGCTGTGTTGTATTTAATCTGTTGTATTATAGACTATTTTTATTCATGCTTACGATAAACCACTCATTCATAGAAGTAACTCTACCATGTCTAGTATCTATGAATTCGCCTTCTTATGATCGAAACAAGCGTGTATATTATAGGCTGATACCCATGCAACATATTGATGTTCTAAGGATCTCTACTAATTTGTGTCTCTACACCCAAGCGAATTACATATGCAAAATACCATGCTTAGAGACAAAGGGCCATAAAAACGCAGAACTCCCACTTGAGATTCCGGACTTCCCCATTGGGCAAGCCCATCTTGAGAGGCGGGAATCTCTGCAGGCTTTAAAGGCCACACTTCAAGAGACCCGCCCCAGTCGGTGGTTCGGTCATCAGCTAAGAAGATGTGAGAAACGCTTCAGGATACCAAAGCATCTGTGCCAGGCCTTTCTTCGGCCTAGTCCTTTCCATTCATCAAGTGACACTGACTCAAACTGGTTCTTTTCATCGACCCGAATTCAGCAAAGATCTACGGGAAGCTTTAAGATGTGCATCAGGAATCTCTTTCAGACCGCCGAGACTCGCTAAGTATCAAACTTAGTCTTATTAATTGATACATTAAGTATCAGTTACACCTTTTTACAAAGGTGTGTTTGAACTCAGAATCTGACGTATCCCTGAAGGCTTTGATCTGTTGAATATACATGCAAAGTGTTCCATAAAATCCATTCTTTATGCCTCTTTCTATGCTGAGTTAAACTTTAACCCTTTCCTATACCAACTGTTTGTGTGTGTGTGTGTGTGTATGTGTATGTTAGACCAGTTTATGTGTTTATGTAGTATGTTAGACTAGTTTGAGTGTTTATGTAGTTAATAAAACCTTACTTGTATCACACTTGACGTGTTCATTGTTTGCTCATAACCGGAGTCAATAATCATGCAGATTTACGTTACAAGCTTATAGAATTGTACAGTAAGAAAGTTATTTCCCTTAACCAGGAAATTAACGTCTTAGAATTGACAAGACAGTTGACCCTGAGTGGTCAGCTAAATATCTACAGTGGATCTAAAATATGAATAGTTAATTATAACTAGTTATGGTTAATTATTCATATTTCCCCATGAGCTGATTCGCTACATAGTTAAAGAAACGTATAAAAAGCTACACTGCTCCGTTGTACAATCTGTTGCGTTCAGCGGTGACCACCGTCTCACTGTGCTGATATAGCCAATGTAAAGGATGATGTTTTATGTCGGTGAAAGTACAAAGCTTAAAATAAATAAGATTTTAGCGTCCAGATATGTTGCGAATATGGAAACATTTGGATTTGTGCCGAATGAGAAAGGTGTAGGCATCAGTTTCACCTTAAATTAATTTGTTTTTGGAGTGACATTTTTATAGCTTAAATGCATAGCCTTAACTTTAGAGGATTTGTTGTAGACAGAAACTAATAACTGTGTTTATAATGTTTGTAAACATTTTGCTTTACTGGCATTTTAGCCTACATTTTCTGAATGTAATAAAAAGTGACGTGAGCCTATACACGACATATGTTTTTTCCCCCCTCTCAAAACGTTTTTTTAACAATGCAGCAAACATTTTTAAATATCTTTAAAAAAATACTTTAATGTCTTTAAAGCGTTAGACTTTTTCTTTTGTTTAGTAGCCTACATTTGGCCAAAATCTAGAAAAGATGATGCTGTATTAGCTGTGCGCAGCAGGTTAAGATAGCCTACCAGATCTCTTCCTGTTTTTTCTTTTAAGTAAAGAAAACGCTGTACATTATTATTATAGGCAAATATATATATATTTTTAAATAACGTTATTAACCAGTATTTTTTTCTACTCAAACCGGTCTTGGAACGGAAATAATACAGAGGAACAGGAACGCAGGAACAGAAACGTTAAAATATCGATTCTGCTCGGAGTGAACCGATTGAATTGTTTTTTTTTTCGTTTTCAAGCCCTGGCCTAGGTCAGTACTCTATTCTTGTGTGAAGCTGCTAAGATGCTGTGTTAAAGCCAATGTTGCTGTGTCAGGCTGGTCTGGATGCTCAAACAGCAATGTTTTGATAGCGTTACAGGCCAAAATGAGCGCAGTTACATGCACATTTTTAAACCAATTATGCCTAATAAGATGACAACGTGTTCTTGTAAATGTGTTAAATAGTTTTCCTTTATTGTCAAAAGGTCATGGCTTAACAGGTTAAGTAAATAAATTATTAATATGTATAATGCATATTATCTGTCTGATGGCTTTTCTGAGGTAAATGAAATGTTACATGACTAAGGAAAACAGGTAAATTTAGCTCATGGGAAATTATGATATTTATAGGGAATTTTGACAGAACAGCTGTTTTTTTCGGCCGATCAACTGATTCGACCAGCGATTAATTTAATAGCCATAACTATCAGTTCTGCAACTGATATTAATATCAAAGTATACTGAAAAGCACTATTTTTTAGCAAGGTAACATGATCGGCAGTTTAAGACAGGAACTTGTAAGCACAAAACAAGATACTTCTCTTTTCAATACGAGCAGGGCCGTTTTAACCATTGGGCTAGGCGGGGCTGAAGCCCCGGTGCCCAAGCAAGGAGGGGGCCCGTGATTGGCTGTGGAGTAGATTTACTGGAGCGCCAATCGCCAAAGCCACCACGCCCCCCACTTATTAGCGTTGTTATTTAGTTGAGCTTTTCCATAAATTCCATGCATTACCATTTGAGATTGAAACGTAAAGTCTGAATTTGATTTACCAATTAAATGCATTTATTCTATATTTGACTTTTGAACGATATGCGCACGTATCTATCAAGTGATTGCTGCCCAGTATGTCTGCATTCACCTCTCTTCACTTTGTTTTGGAGTAATCTGGAAATAGTCGCGCAAAGAACAACATTCCAATAAGTAAAAATGTCAGCAATTCTAAAAGAGAGAGGGGCTCCAAAAAAAACTTCAAATACAAACAACATAAAAAAACATGATTTAGTAAATTCCCCAGCTATCAGGTTATTTTACTAAAGCTGATGATGGAGTGGAAGTTGCTGGAACAGCAAGTGAACCGGGC